TTTTTATCTTGAATAATCCCATAGATTAATATATTCAATAGCAAATTCATAATTTTCCGATACTATATTTTCTTTCTCATCATACTATTAATAACATGATAAATCTTAAATTTTTAAAGTACTGATTACTAAAACCTTATTTGTACTACCAGGTAGTTTGTACACAGCAAAAGCTATGGTGTTATACTCCTTTGAGTAATACATTGAACAATCCAAAATACTGTGTGAATCTAAATTTTGGATCAACAGCAAATCGAGTTTTCATATGCACTTTAAATATTGTGGTTAAATTCAAATTCCAATAACACCGAGATTACGTTCATTAGCATCTTTCGTGGATTATTTGAAATATTCAAATTTTGAATTTTTAGGTATTGCATTATTGTCTCATTTTATTTTCCACTATGGAGCCTCGGGGCACTATCGGTTTTTGGTTATTGCCACCGACAACAGAAAGGCACCAGAAGTGCCTTTTTTGCTAACATGCGTATCTTTAGATTTCGATTTTCTTATATTTAAGTCCTCACAATTTTATTTATATTGTTTATCTTAATTTGTACATATCTATGAATTATATTAAATCATTTTATAGTATTTAAGTTCTTTCCGGTTTTGTTTCTGTTCTGCCGATTAAGCCTAAGTCATATTTATTTTAACATTATCTGGGTAAATCGGTACTTTATTCACGTCGCACTAGAGCTGCATAATGGGCAGTCGACAGCTGTCTGGGAAATATCTCTGGAGATGATCAGAAGACATACCATTACAATTTTGATCCTTTGTAAAGGGGATGACTCCTCCGCTTTGGTAGCCCGATGAACTGTGGGTGAATTTGAGCACTTTACGGTAGAACAGCTTAACGAGAACGGCCTTACGCCGACTGATCAAAGTGGTCACCTACCCGCTTACTGACAGCAGGCAGTGATGCTTGACTTTGGTGTAATATTGGGAAAAGCGTCTTTGCGATCCGCAAGTTAAATGCAAATTTCATTTTATGAATTTGTGTGTATGCATCGTAACTTAATTGTATCGAAAAAATAACTTATGTATTAGTTCTAACGTTATTCCGAAATTATTATTTTCGTTTCAATTAAATATGTGATAGTTTGCTAATATTGCATTGCTGTAGCATCGTTTTATTTTCGTAAGTTTGTGAACCAATGTTTCAGTATAATTAAATTTATTAGACTTAAGATTCATATTAGTAGTTAGGCAATGAGCATAATTTAATGAAAAAGTCTTGATGTTTTTAAAATGATAAAAAGTTTTGTTCTTAATTTTGGTTTATCGGTCTCAAGGAATAATGCTTTGATGCACTCTTTAAACAATACATTTTAAAGCTAAGCAAAAGTCTTCATTCAGTTTTGATTTTCACAAATTAAGTGTCGATCATAATGAAACACACAGTGGTGTAAAGCCACCATTTTTCGTATTCAGAGAGACGAAAATTTTGAAGAGATTTAAAAATTTTCTCTCTTTCTTTCCTTGATATGATGAAAAACTTATTGTAGTAGCCTAAAATTATCATCATATAACTAAGTTTATAAATATAATAATTAAATAACCATTTTCAGTAAGAAGCAAATATCTATTAATACCCTTTTACTTCAGTTTTTAATACTAAGATCCCCAATCTTTCTTTTTTTTATGGTTAGGAGACTCCGGAAACTATTCGATTCGCTCATGAACCCCCAGGATTGCATCTAATTTATTATTGCTTTTTTGTCGATGAAAAATATATTTTAAATATCAATGAAAATATCATTTTGTTTATTTAATGTACAATAATTTTAAGTAATAATAATTTTATTTTATATCATAATTTTATGTGAGCACATTTCATAATTTGGTTACTGTTACGAAATAAAATGATACATTTATAAAAAAAATATCAACTGTACTTAAAAAAAAGCAACTAAATATAGGAATACAGAATGTGCAACAGAACAAGAACTAATAAATGTCGAGTAATTTTACTTGTTAACAATATACACCGAAGAGCCATTACATTATGTCCACCCTCCATCTATAACAATGGACTCACCCAGGTTTTCATGGTTTCTCGCCCAGGAGCAATGTTTTCATGGGGCACATTAAGATCCATAATCCTCATAGAACAATCCCTGACGTCTGTAAGCTACTTGAACATAGTTGCAGACCAGGTTCACCCATTCATAGCAACAGTTTTTCCTGCGGGGGATGGTGTTTACCAACAGGATAATGCACCATGTCATAAGGGTCGAATCGTCATGGATTGGTTCGAGGAACATTCCAGTGACTTTCAAGTCATGTCTTGGCCCCCAAATTCACCTGACCTTAATCCAATAGAGCATTTGTGGTCCTACTTGGAAAACCAAATTCGTGCTGCCACGCTACCCCCTCGCAATGTGAGGGAATTGCAGGACCAGTTGGTGAGCGCTTGGTACCAGATACCTCAGACTACCTATCAGCACCTTGTGGAATCAATGCCATGGCGGGTGCTATCAGTTTTGAGGGCTAAAGGTGGTCTTACATGTTATTAGCAGGGTGGTCATAATTTAATGGCTCTTCGGTGTATAATGATAGCCTTCTATCCTGTAACAATTTATATTAGCGTTTGAAATTAGCTTTTATCTTTCTTCAGTCTTCATATTTGTAAAAATTTCGATAAAATTTAAACATTTGTATCTAGCAACATCAAATCTCTCTTATTTTTAATTTATTCATTTTGTTACTTTTGACATCAAGTCAAATGCAAGTTTATGAAATGAAAATCACGAGAGAAATAAATATATTCAACAGCAACAGAAAAATAATTATTAAGTAAAAGAAAAAAAATATTTCAAAAAAGCATTTGAATTGCAATAACTTTCGAACTAATCAGAGTTTCGAAACAGACTGTCATTAATTTCATAATTGAAATTGGCCCTATCAGCGTGTCAAATTTCAACTCAGTCATTTCATTTAAGAACGCAATAGATCAGTCAAAACAGTTCTTTTTTACTTCAAGTTTAACAGCTGATAATTTTCGAACTAATAATTGAGTTTTAAATTTTTTTATTCCAATGAATTTCTTAGACGTTTTCTGATACTCCATCTTAATTTAAAGTTTCTAAGTCTAACAGATTTTGCTCAACAAAACAAACTGTAACTTAAAGCGGAAAAAAGTTAAAAAAAAAATTGTAAAAAAAAGTACTCAAAATTTTTTAAATTTTCTAACAAACTGGAATGCCAAAAAAAATTCTGCGTTAAGTTTATAAACAAATATGGTTTTTTCAGCATTTTAAATTTCAACTTTATAGTTGCATTCCTGCGGCCTGTAGAACGGCTCATATGGTATTTTCTCCTACATATTTAACAGTTAATAAATAATCCCTGAGATAATAATTCAATGGTAAATTTTTTTATTTCATTGTTGTTTTCTCCACGCCTTCCTAATTTTAAGTTTCTAAGTCTAATAGCTTCGCTGAGAAAGAAAATGTAACATTAAGTTATACGCTCGAAGCAGCCGCAGAGCCTACGATTGCTTTTAATTATGGACCGAAAAAATATTTTATTATTTTACTTATATATTTTGTTTGTTTGTTATTTATGGGCCAGTTCTTGAGATTAGATAAGCAAAACTATGACTTGCCTATTCACTGCTATAAGTTGTTTCTATTATGCTTTTCAATTATTTTTAAGTTGATTAATGAGAACTTATATAGACTTTTTCAATTGTTGAAAAGATTCTTAAATTACTAACATCATATATTTTTAGGCCAAGTCGAGAAAAATACGGTGAACCTGCCTTTTTCATCACAAGATATGCGCAGCTTAAAAGACACACTGACCTTTTGTCTACAAGTTTTAAACCACTTTCGCCTTATATCATCGTTTTAATTCATTTTTTGTATCGTTGTTTTAAGCAAAAAGGGTCCTTTTGAATATTCATGATGTTAACTGAGTCAGAGTAATAGTTTTAATAGTGTCTAGACGACTCTTATAAATTAAAATATGTGTGTAAAATTTAAATAAGATGGTTGGCTATTTAATAATATTCTTAACAAATGGTAGCAATAGATAAGTTATATGTTTATGAGATAGATTTTTGGAAAAAGCAATTGAAAGCTTTGATGCATGTAATATGTATGAAAAAAAGTAATATTCGAAACCACTCTGTTAATCTGTTATTTTTCCTTTATTTTTTTTATAAAAATATATAATAGAAAATATTTTTTTTATATTTATTTCTCAATACTTAAAATAATTTTTCAAGTATTTTCCTACGTTTTTATGAAATATTTCTGTAGCAAAATGCCATTTTTATTACACATTGTTAAAGAAACAAATTAACGTACCAAACGCAGATAGTTTTTTTGCCATAGATGTATTACTTAAGATAATCTTATGCGTTCTAAAACTCAACGAAAAAAGTTTTTCTAGTTCTAATTTTTATTTAAATAAAAAACAGTAATGCATTAGTAATGAGTGTATAAGCTACTTTGAATGAACGAAATTGGTGCTTGTTGACTTCTACCGGTGAATGTTGACACACACATAATCGCTTTGGTAAATGTCCGAAATGTATACTAGGTTTAATTAATTGCCACTGCCCGGTATGCCCTACATCAATGTTTTTTTAAGGTTCATTGGCACTGCCCAGTATACATTGGCCCGGTACTCCGAAAACTTATGTTTCTCCTTATCTATCCTCAGCAGATATTAAAATATCGAATAAATATAATAATATCAGCGAGTAAATTAATATAAAATTGGATATAACATATATTTCAGACATTCACCAAAGTGACTCTGTGATTGTTGACATTTACCGGTGAAAGTTGACATTCTCTTGATTTCGGTCACTCAAAGTAACACATAAATCAAATAGTATTCTGAATTATTTAACGTCGTTGTTCACACTTCCCGAAAGACTTTATTTTTTCTTATCGATTTGTATCAAAATTGACGAATTATTTTTTGACTCTTAAAGTTGCAAGATAGAGCAGATAGTAACAAATATATTTTTGTTTCTTTAGGTACCTGATGGTAACGGCGACATTGTTGACTATAGGTCAACCTTTGTCGTATTCTGATACGAGGCCAACCCCACTTCTATCAGCTGATTGCGCATTAGTGGTAATGACTGGTCACAAAAGAAGAATTGATAGTTCTCAACAAGGATTACGCTATTTTTCCAATTTTATACCCGAGTAAGTCTTTTAAATAATATTTTCATTAGACTAACATTGTCACTATAAATGTAAAATGCCATCTACGTATTTAAATTTTATAATATTAAACCTTTTACTGCTTATGAAAGGAGTTGTCGCTCGAAAAAGCGAAATAAATTTGTGAAAGATTCTCAAAAAATTTAGCAGGAACACAGTACAAAAAAATAAACAATTGTTTTCCTACATAGCAACTATTACCAAGGCCCATTTTTAGAAATTTTATCTTTTAGCAGTCATGATAGGAAAGCTACATAACTATGATCCCATTTAGACGACGTAGACACCTCTTGAACTGGTACCCCTCTCTTCACACGTCCTCACTACAATAAACGGGATGACTTTAAGCCACGACTGATACAAAGCGCACCTTGTTGCGTTTACGCGCTGGTTGTTTAGGGTCGAACTCACGACCACCAATCTCCAACAACGAGAGGAGTGACGCCTTAACTAACTGAGCCAGTGGAGGACCAACAATATGCGGATTGATACACTTGGACACAGTGCAAAAAATAAAAAAATAGTGCAAAAGTGCTGGATAATACAATAAAAAGGAAAATCTAATACAAAAGAGTTAAAAAAAATTTTTTTTTTTAAATTTTACACATTATGAATTCATTTTATGTAAATGAGTGGAATTTTAGAACAAAAAAATTATTTTCGTTGATGTTTCGTCGTTCATCAAATACTTTTTTTCACGTTTTATTTCAACAAAAAAAACTTTAAAAATGTTATTACCCAGTACAATAGTCCGGTGTTACTTCTCATTTTTGTGAATTTTCTGGTTAGGATGAGGTTAACTTAGCTTTTACATTCATTTGTAATTTTATTGCACTTTAGAGAGGCCTAATATTTTTATTAATTCATAAATTCAAAAGGTAAAAAGAACACTTTAATTCATAGGATTTGGAATATTTCTGAATTATTTTTTTGTCACTTAGCTAGTCATCTATTCCCTAAAATGTTTTATCAGTTTTAAATCATCAATTTTGAAACTTCCAAAAAGTATTAATTGCTGTTCAAAATTTAAGTGAATAATGGAAAGAAAATCTCATATTTAAACAATTTTGGCACAAATTCGCTTCAAGACTAACTTGCAAAAATACACTGATAAATAAAGTATGATCAAAACTATGGTGAAATTTACCATGTTTCTGATTTTATGGGAACACCTAAAGGCAATGTAATTTTTACTAAAGCGCTTTGGTAATGGTTTTGGAAAGATAAACAATAAAATATTGTTTTATAATGTGTGTTAAAATTTGGTAAAGTGTAGTTATTTTACCATGATACCTTAAAACAGGGCTTATATTATTTATTCGATAAAATTTACTAGTCAGTTTTGTATTTTTAGAAAATGCGTGGAAATAATAACTATAACTTTGAAATCCAGAATTTCCGGTAAACCGTAATCATATGAACGGCTTATGAATTGCTTAAGTACCGTTTATTTCGGTTTCATTACCAGAATTTCTTTCTGATCAGAAATGTCTTTACCATACAATATGGTAATTTTAACAAATTTGTTTTTTTCGTGTACTTTTCTTAATCGTTTGTAATGCTAATTTTATAAACAGGCTTAATATAACATTAATTAATAAAATATTATAAATATTTTTTTCATTCTCTCTTTTTCTGTTTTTAATTTTCTTACTTAAAGCTTATCGCGTTAATTGAATCATGTACTTGAATGAAATCTACATTTAAAGCTGATTTATAAGTAAAGTGCATGAGAACTATATCACTGAGCATTTATTGACAAAGAAATATGATACAATACAGGAGAGTTTGAATAAAAAGTATATTTTATGTTGGAATACAAAACTTTCTTCCACAGTAAACTCCATGTTATATGAATTTAGGAAATAGTAATTTAATTAATCAATTAATCAAACTTAGTTAATTAATCAATAAATATTTTTTTGGTCATTTAATATGAATTTTAAAGGAGCACTCTTCGCTTTTTCTTCTTCTTGTTTTTTCGGTATCATTGAAGCGATTCAAATAGAAATTTAAAATTCTTAGAAATTTAAAAAAAGAAGAAGTCTTACAAATAAATGAGTACAGATTGACTAAAATTAATCTTTTATTGTTTAATAGTTTAAACAAATTTTTTCGAATCGTGCAATAGTAAATTTAGCTCGCTATCAGCAGAAAAAATGACTCAATTTTTTACCTCCTTTCGGATTTTGAAAACGTACCTTTGGGCACTGAATCTTTGATCTTAATAGCTGCTATTCAATGGAAAATATCCGAATTTTTTTTTAAACGAAAACCTTCTGTGTTTATGAGGCACTACAGCTCAGCAGTTTCCCGAATTTCCTTCTCTTCAGTTCAGCAGTTTCCTGAATTTCTTTCTCTCACTGTATTAAAGGCGGTTATTATCGAACTCCTGCATGTAATTTTTGTCAGAAATGATATTAAAAAAGTATATATATTAAGAGACGCAAATTAATTTTGGGTAAGAAAAAATTGTACATCATCAAAATCAAAAGAATGTCGCTTAAAGAAACTGAAAACATCAATATGCTTGATGGAACTTTGAGGTCTCATTAATAATCACCTTTCAACACAAGAACTCAAAATGTTTTAACACGAAAAAGTAGCTTGAAATTAGCATAAAGTTATGTCAAAAATTAAGTACGAGTAAAATGGTCTGTTTTTAAATATATGTATAATTTTTTTCCTGAAGTTAAAATAAGCAGAACATTTCTGCTTATTTTAACTTTAATATTTTTAATATTATATATATGGAAAAACTTAATTTTTTAAAACTTTTTGATTGAAATAAAATTATTGTAAAATAATTAAATTCTAACTATTTTACTTAAAACATATTTAATACTTTAGATGTGCAAAATTTTGAAATTTGTGTGAATAGAACTTTTTTTTGAGCGTAATAAAAGACGTAGACCAAATGCCAAAATATATAACATTTTAAAATATTAAAAAAGAAAGAAAATGGGCTAAATTAAGGCCTAATTTACTGTATGATTATTTATTAAGGTTGTTCGTCGAATGCTCAGTCGGCTATGAAAAAATGCCTTTCAGAGAATAATATGCTATTTTAATAACTGTTACAGATTCTAACAGTCATTCATTACTGTTAGGTTAAAATTTCTCCATCTTCAGCCATTGCTCTCTTTTATGCTACTTATGAGTAGCGCAAAATATTAACATGAAGAAAAGTCACAGCTTTGTGATGTAATGTTTTAATATTTAATAGGTACTCCTTCACTGAAAGTTGTTCTCGAAGGTAAATCACGCTTTTTAGTGAATAATTTGCTACTTATATAACAGTTGTGAGTTTGTAACAGTTATTCCTGACTTATGAGTTAATTTTTACTTAAACAGTTCTCTTTATAATAATTCTGAAAACAATGCAAAACGTCAACAAAAAGAGGAGCCTTAGTTTTGTGAAAATAAAACCGTTTGTGATCTAGTTTTATAATATTTTAAAAATAACTCTAATATTGCCTTATCTGCCCTTATAAAAATTCTCTAAGTGTAAAAATTATTCATTCATTTTAACAATTTTTACTTAAGTGGAATTTTTTTTCGACGAATTAACTTTTTTAAAGTTTAATAACTTTTAAAATATTCAAGCTATTTTTCCTTTCCAAATCCTAGTTAATTATTTACGGCAAGATGATATATATAGTTTAAAGTTAAAGTTTCGCCTTGAATGTAAGGTAATTTAACTGCGTCATTTTTATTTTGTTAAGCTATAACGCTTCGAAAAATAGTGTTGATGATTTTCATTAGGTGAAAAATTGGTACCAAATTTGCGATTTCTTAAAAAGTTTAATATTTTTTCGTATGTATATATTTAAGATATTGGCGCGACCAAACAATTCTTTAGAGTAAGATAGTTTGTATAGTACAAAATCAATGGTATATATCAAGTATAAGACAACTTATTTTCCTTGAAAGAAATGATAACGCCTCTAAAAACAACCAACCATATAATAAGATGTGAAATCGCTAAGATGAAATAATAGAACGACATTAAGAATATATGGATTAAAGTTGAAGTAAAATTATACTTAGAGTTCATAAATAATAATAAAAAACAATTTATGCAGAATATGCGTTTGACGTCACGTCGCTTCAATACTAACTACCGTTTGCATTGCGTTTCTTTTTATCTGTTTGCCTATGCGATTTTATTACCACTATTATTGAGAGGGAGAAAGCATCTTCGGTTGCTTTAAAAAAAAGCGTCGATGCATGGCAGAAACAGATAATCCAATAATTAATAATATAATTTCGTTATTGATACGATTTTCTTTAGAGTATGGAGTTAATCAAAATGGCTTCTGGAATAAATTACTTATAATTCAATGGCCAAAAAAATTTCGCCGTTTAATGGTAATCTTTATTATTCAGGAAAGTTATTATAAATATAACAAGTTATGACTACACCAAGTGCTTTGACACTTAAATTTAAGATTTTTCAAAAAGTGGAGTTAATCGATGCGTGCACTGAATGGCTCATATAATAGAACAAATAAAAGTAAGAAAGTTTTATTGAAATAGAATTTCAATATCAATTTAAATTATTATTTGTTTATGTAAATTATTTTTTCATTTTCAAGGGATTATATAGCATAATACGAAATGCTCTAACAACCAAGCTAACACAAAAAAAGCTCAGTTTGAATAAAAATCATATTTAACTCATCAGATTTTAAGTATTTCGGCTATACTGATTATCTATTGATCATGTTGATTGTAATAGTTTTATTTTATTTCCACTCCTTTAACTAATTTAATTTCAGGTTATTTCCTTTTATTCCTCTACTTATTGTTATTCTATTTTCTTTTCCACTACTAATCGATTTAACAAAATAAATAAATCCGAAATTGAAACTTTAAACTATGAATCAGGATAAAGAGACACATTAAACCGCAATTTACTTTCACTTTGAAAGGAATTGTTTTCCTTTTTTTTTTATCAAAGATAGTGCTCTTCCTAGAAT